TTGACTGGTCTTGTGACCCCTTGTTCTCCCCCACTTTGCCTATGGGGGTGTGTCAGATTTATATGACATAGTTGCTGTAGGCTATAGTGGGGTAGCACATATGGGGTACAGGGTTTCTAGGGCTGTATTTGTACCCAATCTTTCCTTAGTCATTTCATTCCTGTTTTCTTTACTCCACAAAAGCCCCGAAACAAAACGAGGTAGTAAAAAACTAGTCTTAGAACCCTGTTTGTTGGGCTTCCTTGTGACTTTACCCCGCTTGGTAGACCATAATTTCCACGGACTTTGAGCATGTATCACATACCCACAAGACCCCAAAGGTTGCCCATGTCACCTTTCATGAGCGCAGCTGCATCGATCCCTTGCATGCGACTCGTTGACAGCATATTTCCCTGAGACTCATGACAAACTGAAGCAAACCAAGAGGGTCTAACAAACATACCGCTCCTTTCAGCGCTGTTGCGGCGGAAGCTGGCGACAACCGCCAGATGCGTGACAATATTCCTGAAATTGTTGAGCCAGGGCTCCTTGCAATTGGGTTCTAATGGGGTCGAAACGGGAATAGGAAAGAGGTTTACTAACACAATTTTGCGATACAATGGGATGTATGGTGGGGCCGAATTAGGTTGCATCCCAAACTCATGTTGTGAATCGCACACTAAAATAGCTATATAATACATGATAGCACGATTACGTACTCGTCAAGCTGTGCTTAGACGATCGCAGGAATTACTAATAGCCTTGTTTTGTCCCCACCATAAGGATCCGCCTTCGAAGTGCCTTCCCCTCCTTCAACCTCGTTTCGTTCCTCCACCAAGTAGCTAACCCCTTGAGCCCCTTCTTGGATCCGGCCCTAGTCTAGGTCACCTTCTTCACACAACCTGTCACCCTCAATGGATTGTTGTTCGGCCCTTAGAGCACCTCCACTTCCCTCTCCCCCCTGTCCCGTCACGTCTTCCTCTTGCGCCTCCACAACCTCAATATTGACCCTTGTATTCGCCGTACCCCCAATTGGCAAATCTCGTTCTTCATACACTGGAGCTTCTCTCTTGACATGCATGGTGTTGGTTGCTGGTGCAACAATGTGGGGTGAATGATAAACATAATCATGACACTTACGAGTGTTGAACGCATAGTGGTGATCCCACCTTATCCTATCTTGGGGAAAGACAGGCAATATGATGGCACGTAACAATACTCTAATATGAAGTGCGGTTGGGTTGATGTTCGCGGTGGTTACTCGTATGTATAGTGGTGCATACCTCCATCCCGCAAAGCTCAATATGCTGCCCCACGGAGGTCCCCTCCACGGTCATGGCCCTTATCCAGAACCACCACACCCTTTGAGTTCAGATGATATATGTCGAACTGGTACATGTAGCGGCTTGTAGAAAGTGGTGTCCGTGTCAAACATAATAGTTGAGGGGCCTAGGGTTTGACTTAGGCAAGAGTGACGAGAGGAAAAGTGCAAGCCAAAAGAGAAGTTCAATAGTAGAGGGCATACAAGATATAGGCAAGGAATTAGGCAAATGCCTACAGGGAAAACCCATGTGTAGCACAAAGCCTGCAGGGGTACACCAGGTGCAGTGGAAGAAGCAGCAGCAGGAAATAACAATGGCAGCCGGTGCATTAGTGGCAAATACAGCTGCAGCACACCTTCAGCCAAGGCAAAAGCAGTAGCAGGTGTAGGGGCGGCAGGTCGCTTGAGGAGCAGGCTCTGTGGCTGCAACGTTCAGCAGGACAGCAGCGGCTCGACGGCAGCACCTGCAGGCCCCAGCAGCAGGCAGCAGAAACAAAGGCAGGTGGCGGCAGGGGCGGCACCAGGAGGTGCCACGGTAGCAGCGGGTTGCAGCTGCAATTTCCTGACTGTCTTCCGCCACCCTCTCTTACCCTCCCCCCCACAGCAGCACGAGCGGCAGTGAGAGAGAGAGAGAGAGAGGAGGGGCGGCTGTTGGCTATGCATAATCTCTCTCGCCACCCCCTCACACTCCCCCTCCCCCCACGAGTGCGCGAGCAGCAGTGAGAGGGAGGAAAAGGCGAACAGCGGCGGTAGGAGCTGTGTCACCCACGCGCCAACCCCACACCCTCCCCCCCCCTTTTCACTGGCGCACGAGCAGCAGGTGCAGGGCAGGGGAGCTGCGCAGTAGCGTGCGGCCATGTGTGGCTGCGCGCGGCTGTGCGCGGCTTCACGCGGCCGTACGCAGCTGCGCGCGGCTGCGTGTGGCTGTGGCAGCTCGTAACGAGACGAGGGGCGGGGCAAATCGGGATGGGGCGGGTAGCGCGGGGCGGGTGACAGGGCGAAGGAGCAACGGGGCAGCACGAGCCGCCCAGATCGTCGCCATTTCAGTAGACAGCTCGTCGTCGCGCCCGTCACGTCAGTCACAACTAAGGGCGCGACGGGCGCCACGAAACGAGAAATACGCGGTGGGCCCATGGGGTAGTTAAAAACAGCAGGCCAGGATGTTACGTGCTCTGATACCATGTCAAACATAATAGTTGAGGGGCCTAGGGTTTGACCTAGGCAAGAGTGACGAGAGGAAAAGTGCAAGCCAAAAGAGGAGTTCAATAGTAGAGGGCATACAAGATATAGGCAAGGAATTAGGCAAATGGTACACCACCTAGCAGGAAACTAAGAACTACACTAGGCTACTGTAGGCATTTATATGAATGTATACAAATACATTTCAACAGTCCGTTCGAGCAAGTGTGGCACGACTGTCTTCTCCCCCACTTGGCTCAGCAAGAAACATGATCGCTGAGCATCTAGGTTCAGTTGGACTTGGTCCTTCACCGCCGTTGCATTTTCACGTACCAGGCAAAAGGAAAGTAGATCAAATAAGCATAACAGTTGATTCATGAACACTATCAGCGACCTATTCTTGTATGCATAACATGTTTTGTCCCCAAGTTTGTGTGGGTTGAGGAACGGGGGGTCTAGCGGGCACATCTAATCGACCACCGATCAATGGTGGGGAGCGGTCAACGATGGAGAGCAGTGAGGGTGTGATAATGGAGTGTGTTGCATATGGTAGCAGTGCAAGTAATAGGTTTGGTCGATGGGTGGTGTACGTGAGGTTGGGGAAAGGAGGGTTACGGTAGAGTTGGGTTAGATTAGCCGCAAAGGATTGGAGGGATGGCTTTGAACGGTACCATAGGCGTGCGCTTACATGAATCAATTTGCTGCATTGATCAGCTTGTTGACGACATCGGGTGATGAAGTCGTGAGAACGTGCATTAAGTCGTTGAACGACGCCTCCCTCCCCAATCGCTTCGAGAGACCATATCGCATGATTGCAACAGGTAGGTTCGCGTGTTTCCCTATGCTAACCATCTTCTGAGGGTGCTTTTCCATAATGGCATTCAGATGTTTCTCCATGTCTCCGCTCACACCGTTGTGCCCACTCCCCATGCTGACATTAGTGGCTCCACGCACCTGAGACGTCACAATGAAAAAGCGATACTTGCACATGCCGAGTTAGTAGTCTATTCCCCCCAGCTAGCAAACTCACACCACTGCCACACTAGTTCCCTCGATTCCCCCCAACTAGCAACTCTCACACTAGCGACTAGTTCCCTCTTCTCCCCACTGCTAGCAACCTCTCACTCTCACTGCATCATTTCCCTTTGTTCCCACCTCCCCGCAACATCTCACCCCAACCTATCACAACTCCACTCTATTCCCTCCAACTAGCAAAGAGAACCGCAAAGATTACTGAGGAGGCACGTGCCATGGCTCCGTTAACGAGTGGGGATTCAAAGATAGACGACACCTTGGCATCTTCTGGTTACCACCCGGTTACCATGTAGCTGACCTCTTGGCTTCTACCACACTGCACCTTACCGAGCTAGCAACCACATGGTTACCAGGTTCACGACATCCAAATGCAACGTATGTACAGCTCGGTTAGCCTCGTGAGTCTGGAGTCTGAGACGAGCATCTTGTGGTTACGCCAAGTTACGTGGTTACCACGTGTTTACCAGCTTGCCACCACACAGCACACCAAAGACCCATAACCAACGTACAGCTCGGTCAGCCTCTTGACTTTAGAGATAGAGCTTGGCTGACTCAAGCTGAGCAAGTTGAATTCGAGATTGCTGTTGCAACAGGAGCCAGCATGGTTTGGGACGGTGAAGAGGGATGGTGAGGGTGTGGAAGGGCGGAAAATCTGAAGGCCGCGAACCCAATGTGGACCGGTTGTTTGTGTTTATGCTCGGAACTCAACACATTGCCTTATCTCCATGCCCATCTTTGAATGTGATAGCGATGAGGAAGAGTTCTTCACACTAAACCTCAAATATATACACTGAGAAGGATGACTAGGAACGCACTGGTGCTCACACCAATTAGCAATTGGGATGGTAATTCACATGGAAACATTTAGTGTGTACCCATAACAGCCAGTTACAGTACGAGACTTCTAAAAACGCACGTGACTCTGATACGGCCAGGGTGAGCTGGCAGGTTGAGATGTGACACACACCCATGATACAGTCACATGTGATACAGTCACGTACAGTCACGTTCGCAACAGTCACGTGCGAACACACGTTAGGTTGAGGTGTGGCCTGGCCTTACTATAGGGTCGATAAAAAAAAAAATCATAGTTGACTCAAAAGTGACAACAGTCGACTCTTAAGTCCCAACAGTCGACTCCAAAAGTCACAACAGCCAGATTTGGAACATCTCAATTAAAACAGGGTGTACATTCATCTGGCTGAGCCGTGGGATTGCTGTTAGGAGGGGGACAAAGACCAGCAGGGGGGTGATGTGGGAGAGAGGAACAGATAGCAGCTTCCCGACATCAAAGGCAGAGACCTTGTTGCAAGATAGATCACTGTGGGCGTGAGGATAGAGAGAGGAGAGGGGGGAATAGGGGAGGGAGAAAGGGCGAGTGATGAACTTTGAGGCGCCCAAAAAAAAATTCGTGGGGGGGAGAGGGAGCCGGAGATCTGGTGGCGAGAGATAGCATTGCGGGAGTGGGGAGAGAGATAGAGAGAAGATGGGCAAAGGGTGGGGTGTTGAGAGGGAGATGGGCAAACAATGGGGTGGGGAGAGGGAGACGGGCAAACGGTGGGGGGGGGGAGAAGGAGATGGGCTCACGGTGGGGTGGGGAGAGGTATATGGGCAGAAGGTGGGGTGGGGAGTGGTGGATGGGCAAAGGGTGGGGTGGGGAGAGGGAGACTCGCAAACAGTGGGGTTGGGGAGAGGGAGATGGGCAAAGGGCGGGATGGGGAGAGGTATATGGGCAAACTGGTTGGGTGGGGAGAGGTATATAGGCAGAAGGTGGGGTGGGAATTGGTGGATGGCAAAAGGGTGGGGTGGGGAGAGGGAGATGGGCAAAGTGTGGGGTGGCAAGAGGGTGATGGGAAAAGGGTGGGGAGGGGACAGGGAGATGGGCAAACGGTGGGGGGGGGAGAAGGAGATGGGCTCACGGTTGGATGGGGAGAGGGAGATGGGCAAACGGTGGGGGGGTGAGAAGGAGATGGGCTCACGGTGGGGTGGGGAGAGGGAGATGGGTGAACGGTGGGGTGGGGAGAGGTATATGGGCAGAAGGTGGGGTGGGGTGTGGTGGATGGGCAAAGGGTGGGGTGGGGAGATGGAGACTCGCAAACGGTGGGGTTGGGGAGAGGGAGATGGGCAAAGGGTGGGATGGGGAGAGGTATATGGGCAAACCGGTGGGGTGGGGAGAGGTATATGGGAAGAAGGTGGGGTGGGAACTGGTGGATGGGCAAAGGGTGGGGTGGGGAGAGGTATATGGGTAGAAGGTGGGGTGGGGTGTGGTGGATGGGCAAAGGGTGGGGTGGGGAGAGGGAGACTCGCAAACGGTGGGGTGGGGGGAGGGAGATGGGCAAAGGGTGGGGTGGGGAGATGGAGATGGGCAAACGGTGGGAAGGGGGAGAAAAAGATGGGCTCACTGTTGGGTGGGGAGAGGTACATGGGCAAACGGTGGGGTGGGGAGTGGTGGATGGGCAAAGGGTGGGGTGGGGAGAGGGAGACTCGCAAACGGTGGCGTGGGTAGAGGGAGATGGGCAAAGGGTGGGGTGGGGAGAGGGAGATGGGCAAACGGTGGGGTGGGGAGAGGGTGATGGGCAAGGGTGGGGTGGGGAGAGGGATATGGGCAAACGGTGGGGGGGGGAGAAGGAGATGGGCTCTCGGTGGGGTGGGGAGAGGGAGATGAGCAAACGGTGCGAGGGGAGTGGTGGATGGGCAAAGGGTGGGGTGGGGAGAGGGAGATGGGCTCACGGTGGGGTGGGGAGAGGTATATGGGCAAACGGTGGAGTGGGGAGTGGTGGATGGGCGGAATAGCTCACGCATAGGGAGGTGTGCTAGATCAATAAGGGCCGAAATGTGGGGAACCAGAGGGGAAATGAGGGAAGGAGAGGGCGAACTGGGTGGAAGGTTGTGCAAAATGGAGGGGTAAGCGAGAGAAGACCCAGGGAAGCAGGAGAGAATGTGAGGAAAACCCGGGAATAAATGAGGGCTTGCCGGAAGGGCGTGGCGGGAAGGGAAGAAGGCATGGCGGGAATGGGAGGACGGGTGTCTGGACGGGGAGAGGGCGTGACGGGAAGGGGAGAAGGAGTGGCGGGAATGGGAGGACGGGTGTTTGGACGGGGAGAGGGCGTGACGGGAGGGGAAGAAGGCGTGGCGGAAAGGGGAAAAGGGGAGGCGGGACTGGAAAAATCAGGCGGCGGGGGGGGGGGAGGGGGATTGGGCAGCGGAACTAGGAGATTGGGCGGCGGAGGGGAAAGGTGGGACAGGGAGTTCGTGCGGCCTGTGCAGCGTGTCAAGATTAGAAGCTAGAATGATTGTATTGAAATGATTGTGTGTACAGGCTACCCCACTATAGCCTACACAAAACTAGCACATATATAGTTCGACACAACCCCCATACGCAAAGTGGGGGAGAAAAAGCGGTCACAAGACCAGTCAAGCAGAGCAAAGCAAGCTCAGGGTGGATCACAACGTCACCACACACTCCGAGCACAAGCAAAGGGCCACAAAGCCAGTTCACATGCAGATGTATATATGCAACAACAACAGTACGGTCATCACTACCTAGCAGGAGTAGGCATGCAGGTATACAATATAGATCACAGTACAAGCACAGTCAAGAGGTGAGCAAGTGAGGCCAAGCAGGCAAAAGTCCTAGCACAGTACAGAGCCGCTGATGATCACAAGGCTGAAGTGCCTTGGTGAAGATATCAGCGGCGTTGGCCCGAGATGCCACGTAAGCAAGGCGAAGTTGTCCACGCTGCTGCAACTCTCGAGCAAGGAAGTAACGCAGAGCGATGTGCTTCGTCCTGTGCTCCAGTCTGTGCTCCTGACACAAGGCAATCATGGCCTTTTTGTCAACGTACAGAATTGGAGGAGAACGAGGCGGCTCTCCCAAGTCGGGCAGCAGGTAGGTGAGCCAGCAGACTACTCCTACTCCGCCTCCAGCCTCTGGCCTGCAGACACAAGGAGGTACAGCAACAAGATCAGCAGCTGAGTCTACCGAGACTCCCGCGAAACAAGCGACAGGCTTCGATCCAAGTATGATGGAGAAATTCTTCTCCTTTATGTCCTTCTACTAGCAGCATCAGCAAGCGGCACCTGCGCAGTCAAACATCAGCAACAACAACAACGATGTTACACCCATGAGTCTCGATGGCTCATCCTATGCGCACGGAAACTAGCAGCAACCCACCTTTGCTCCGTATGAGCGTCAACGTGGCTCAATTAGCTTCGTGCCGCAACAACAGCCTCGACCTGGATAGGAGAAGACATTGGATGCACTCCAAGTTCAATGGCAGTTCGCGCACGTCTTGAAATTATAGAGTCAACACCTTTCGACGACAAAGACTTCTATACCTGGTCGTTCGAGTTTGAACTGATGATGGAAGGCGCGCAGATTCTTCGACGGGTCCGTGCCATACCCAACACACGGGACGCAATACGACAAGCAAAAGTACACATATCAGTCGATGATGGCATACATAATCCTGCCAAGGAACGTAACTCCAAACCAGCAGCAGAAAATCCGGTCTTATCAGGGATACGGCAACTCCGCTGAACTCGCGTACAATCACTTGAAGAACCTGTATCAAGCAACAGACAGCGTCAATCAATGTTGGTTAATGGCACAGCTGACAACAATGGAAATGAAACCCGGTGAAAAGGGGATGGCATATATCAGCTGTTGTCGCGAATTGCGCGACAAACTTCTTCGATGCGGAGGATCGATATTTGAGGAAGCCTTTGTCACGGTCGTCATCTCCGGACTTGGTCCTCATTGGTGCTCCACCCGAGCCATACTCCGAGCTCACGGGAAAATCTCGGAAGCGGCACTCTGCGCTGAGATACACGCTGAACAACAAGACATGGATCTGCACGAGGAGCGACACAAGAAGAAAACCTCAGTACCTGAATTTGCATTTCACACCCAACGACGCTTCAACAACTCCAACCGGCAGAATAAACAACAATAGCAACAGCACGCACCACCGTTCTGTCATCTCTACAAAACATTTGGGCATCCTCGCACACACTGCCCAAATCGACAACATTCAACACCACCGCAATGACAACTCCGGCCTTCAAGTAGCCAAGTCACCTCAACACAAGCTCATCCCACTCCTCAAGCTCAAGGAACGTCAACAACACAACCTGCACAAGGGACAAGAAACATCGTGAGTTGCATGGCGAGATTGACAGACTCCTGCATCAGTGAATCACCACCATACTACTCACCGGAAGAACAACTCGATGAGAGTACCCCTCGTCGCGAATCATTGCAACCGAACCCGACATACACAGCCTGACAAAATTAGAAGAAACAAAGAGGAATGAACTAGCAGAAATGGGGATACAAATAGCAAACCCTAGAAGGGTTGTACTCGCTATAGAGCACCCCACTACAGGCTAGAACATAAGATAACATTCTGACACACCCCCATAGCCAAAGTGGGGTGTAATCAGCAGAGCAGGCAAAGCAGTACAAGCTCAGGGTGGATCACAATGTCACCACACATTCTGAGCACAAGTTCAAGAAGAAATAGTTTAGAGTGCACAATTATGAGCAAAGCTAGTGGTAGTCACAACGGGCAAGTGAGGAGGAGGAGAGAGAGTGAGAGGAGAGGAGATAGAAGGCGGCGGCTGAAGCTGCAGACACACGGGCAACAGAAGTGGCGAGCACAGTGGCTACCGGACTAAGCGCCCGGACTACAGGAGCAACAGGCCCCGCGGCTTAAGCAGCGGCAGACGGGCAACGGACCCACAGGCGACTGGCGCAGCGACAAGCTCACTGGGCTACCGGGACAACGCCCCGGACTACAGGTGCTGCGGACAACAAGCTGGCAGCCTCCACTCAACCTCCCGCAGACAGTCCCACCCCCCTGATACACACCCACTGCTACACCGCTAGCTCCACTCCCACGCACCCCCCTTAAACCCTAAACCCAGTCTCCCACACATCCACCCCCCTCAGCGACAGCTGCAGCAGTGGGAGACGAAGGAGGAGGAGGAGCAAAGGGAGGAATGCACACCGGCCACCCCCATACCCGCCACCCCACAGCTCGCCCCTCAGGTCGCCTCGACAGACGACGGGAAAAGGGGGGGAGGGGGGGGGGGGGGCGGGGCCGCGATGATGGGGCGGCGGGGCCGCGACAGGTCGGTGGCGTGGCCGCGATGGTGGGGCGGCGGGGCCGCGACAGGTCGGTGGCGGGGCCGCGATGGTGAGGGCGGCGGGTGGGCCCCAAAGGTAGGGCGGCGGGTGGCCGCGAAGGTAAGGCGGCGGGTGGGCCGCGAAGGTAGGGCGGCGGGTGGCCGCGAAGGTAGGGCAGCGGGTGGCCGCGACGGTAGGGCGGCGGGTGGCCGCGAAGGTAGGGCGGCGGGTGGCCGCGAAGGTAGGGCGGCGGGTGGCCGCGAAGGTAGGGCGGCGGGTGGCCGCGACGGTAGGGCGGCGGGTGGCCGCGAAGGTAGGGCGGCGGGTGGCCGCGAAGGTAGGGCGGCGGGTGGCCGCGAAGGTAGGGCAGCGGGGCCGCGACGGGTCCCCGTCGCCCGTCGCGGCGCCTCCAGAAGGCGACGCGACGAACGACGGGGCAGACGCCCGCCGCGCGCCTCGGGGCGCACAGCGGGCAGAGAACCGCCGCGCGCCTCGGGGCGCACGGCGGGCAGAAAACCGCCGCGCGCCTCGGGGCGCACGGCGGGCAGAAAACCGCCGCGCGCCTCGGGGCGCACGGCGGGAAGGAAAAGTAGCAGCGGAAGCGAGGTGGTAACCCACCCACAGGATCGATCCAAGGGGATCGACCTGCTCTGATAGCATGACAAAATTAGAAGAAAGAAAGAGGAATGAACTAGCAGAAATGGGGATACAAATAGCAAACCCTAGAAGGGTTGTACTCGCTATAGAGCACCCCACTACAGGCTAGAACATAAGATAACATTCTGACACAGCCATCGCCCAAAGTGAGCCGTCCGGGAAAGACACTTGGTTCCTGGACAGATGCTGCAGACAACATATGTGCTCCTCGGGTCGCTTCGTTCAACGGGAACACCAACTTCAGCGCAAAGTCGTCATCACCGTCGCCAACAATCAGAAACTGCGCACATGACGACAAGGCATCGTTCAACTTCAGTCAAGAGAAACCAACATCATACTTCAAATATCAAAGGTTCTAATCGCGGAGGGACTCGGCTACAACTTACTTAGCGTCAGCCAGCTGATGGCGAAGGGGATCCACCTTGAAGCAGACAGCACCACTCAGGAGTTCAATTTGTACCACGGGAAAGGAGGACTCTACATCGGGAAGGCGGTGTCGAAGAAAAACGTCTTCGTTCTCGACTTCGTCCCAGGCCTAAGCACCACCGACAGCGACGCCATCGTCAATTTCACTTCTTGGACACACCCACCAGATCTCGACCCCGGCTTCATCCCCGGCGCCTTCTGGTACTCAAACACCGTACTTGAGGCAGAAAGAACACGAGCTTTAGCAACAATTTAACAAGCAGAGACAAAATCGACAGCAGCAGAGACAACATTCGCAGCAGCAGAGAGAACATCAGCAGCAGCAGAGACAACATCAGCAGCAGCAGAGACAACATTGGCAGCAGCAGAGACAACATTGGTAGCAGCAGAGATAACACCAATCACGACGCCAATCACGGGTCCTTCAAGAGCACCAGCCCCAATCGACGATACTCCACCGACTCTTGCGCAGCAACAGACTCCTACTCCACGCGAAGTCCACAGAAGCGCCAACTTCACCGCCGGTTTTTACTCCAACTCCGACTTGTACAGGCGCTCATCCGGACATCACGCAGGCGAA